AGCTCCACGTCCATCCCCACACCACCTTCCCCGCTGTGTGTAGCCCTATCCCACCCCACCCCCCGCTCCACATCTGGCCCTGTGCCCCCCTCCCCCACTGTGCTGACCCCAGCACCCTGCGCTGCCGCTGCTCTGCATCCAGCCACGCACCACCCCCCTCCCACACTGCATCCAGCCCCACACCACCCACCTCCCTTCTCCCCTGCTCTGCATCCGCCTGGCCCACTCTGCTGGATCCATGTTTTGATGGGCATGCTTGACACAGCACTGACTAGACCCACGCCCCATTGGGAGCCATGCCCCAAGAGCATTATGGACAGACAGAAAGACACAGGGATAGCCACACAGACACATGGACTAAGTCCTTTTTATATATATATATAGATATATATATATATATATAGATATAATTTACCAGTTGGGGATGCCCACTACAACATACTACAACCTGCTTATTCCCCCAGTGTTCACTGGGTTATAAAGCACTATCAGCAAAAGGTAACATTCCCATTCCAATTTTATACTTTATTTCCCATTCTCATTTCAATGTTATACTTTATTTCCCAACAATCAGTTTAGAAAGTTGACTTCAAAACCTGATAGCTACTAGCTAGGAATATTACTCTAAATAAATTGCATAAAATAAACTGTTCTTGATATTATCTTATGAATTTTCCTGTTTTGTCGTCTTTAGGTGCTGCCTCTGACTCATAAAAAAGAAAGAACCACAAGAAAATCCACTAAGTGAATTTCATTTTTATGGGATAGGAAAAAAAGCCTATTTCTGACATTTTTCAGATTACAGAAAGTGAAAATATTCTCTCCCCTCTTACACACACACAGAAAGCAGTTACTCCTAATTGTTATTCCTTTACTTTACGTGGCGTCCTTGATTTTAGATCATTAATGCTTTTTGGTACACTGAGGGCACATCTAACAGATGTTAGAGAATTAAGCTACATAGTACATCTTTACTCAGCACTTAAAATTATGGCTTTGCATTGGATTCTCACCACAAGCATTTGAAAATTGGAACCCAATCAACCCATAGAACATTTGCTTTCCTTTTTTCCCTTACTAAGCAACAAAAGTAATGAGTGTGTTTGGCTGCTCATGAGAGGGTGAGCTTGTTTATGTGCTTATATAGTAGTATATACTACAGCCGAGGCTGCTGCCACCGTTTTACTTCTGAAAGTTTTTTTTTTTGTATGGCATCAGATATCAACTTCCAAATCTATAAACCACTATCTGGTATAATCACTCAATGTGCAGGTTCCATCTACCCCGTCCGGGCATTTGTAAAGCCCCGTTTGGACATTGCTGCTTTTGATTAAGCATTGTGCTGTTTGCTGGACATTGAATTCACAAAGGGGGCTGTCCAAGATGTTTATCTTGGACAGTGTTGTTTTAAAGCAACCGTATCCAGATCTCAGTCTGTTCAGCTTGACCCATGCATTTCTGTCAAGGTTGTGCCCAATGCGGGACTTGTTTGGTGTTGGTATAAAATAGGTTTGGTAGGAACAAAATCAGAAACGGTAGGAATAGGTTGGTAGGAATAGGTCTGACCTTTCCCAGCAGTCAGCCTACTCCATTAAGCTGCCCATAGGTTTGGTTCAGAATCCCCAATCTCTTTCAGGCCCTCGTGGGCTTCACGTATAAATGGTTTACAACTTTAACGCCTCTTAAGCCTCCATCTATTCAGGTCTTCACTTAGCAGTTGATGGAACAAGTGATTTTTGTCATCTCGTGCCTCTAATGCCAGTAATGATGTTAGGGTCCATCTTCTTATATCATTTGGTCTAATGCCTGAGCATACAGGGAGTACATCTGTGTTTAAGCTCTGCATCCATACTTTTTTCCAGTTTTGATTTTCTGAAAATTGACTGAAAGCCAGCAAGAAACAGTCAGGTAATGAACTCCAAAACCCCAAACTCCTTTTTTAGCTAGTCTTCCTTTCTGGAATGGCTCTTGATTCAACTTTTTAGGGAAGCAATGTCACATCTTACGATAAAAAAAAAAGAAAATTAAACATTAACCAGCTTTTTTTTTTCCTTCAAGCTAGCACTTGTAGCAAAGCAGACATTCTGAGCCATGGAGGTTGTTCAGAGGACAACATCTCTGCAACACGATCTGATACGCTTGCACAAACATCACTGGATGCCAAGGGCTTTTCTGAAATACAGTTCACTTGAGATTTAACCAACTTGTCATCTGGATCCACAAGAAAGCAGTCATCTCTAGGTCACAAGCGTCACTGCCAGGGGTCTTGGTGCAACAGTCTAATACAATCCCTGAAAAACTCAAACCTGGACAGAGTTATTTGTAGAAAAGACTTGACCAAAGTATTCCATCACCATTTGAAACATGCTTTAGTACCTGAAGGGGATCCAAACTGAGAACAGGACCCATAATAACAGCCCCAGATGTATCTGAGGCCACAAGCGGGTCACAGTACAAACTTCCAGGCTCTGAACTTTGAAACCACAATTCACGGCCTCAGACGTGAGATTATGAGCTCCGTTTTATATTCATCACTGCCATGGGAGAGTTTCTGCAATGCATTTGATCCCAGGAAAACAGGGCAATCTCAGAGTATGACACAGCAAAGGAGAAACGCAGTCAGAAAGGTCTTTTCCTCGGGAATGATATTTATAACCAGCAAGTACGATAAACTACAGAAACCAAAACTGAAAAGGAAACAAAACTTCCAAGGCTGGGGTGCAAGCTGGTCCTGGCTGTGGAGCCCCGCTTCCCCGAGGCCACACTGTCCTCTCTGAACTGAGCATGGGGGAGGCAGAGGTCTTTGCTTGAACACACATGCAAGGAGAGGAAAAAACTGGGCTGAGGTTTTCACTGCAAGCAGGTGATAGCTTTGTACCTTGTCATTCCCTGAGGCTGCGAGGTATTTGGCAACAACCCTGTAACTATGCCAAGCGTGTCACCCTGCAGCCAAATGGACCACCCTTCACTTTGATGGACTGCCCATTGCAGAATGGGAGGCTTTGATTTGGGGGAGGGGGGGAGGGCACGGGGGACTATTATTATTTTGAATTTGCAAGCAGAAAAAAAAAAGGGGACAACAGATATAAAAGGAAAGGACCTCCCAAAACTTGACAGTGGCACTCTGAAATCACAATCACTGTAATGGGACCTCCAGCCAAAACCCCCTCCGAGCACTGGGGCAGCAATAGCCTCCTCCTCCTCCATGAATCGCAGCAGGGACAGACCAGCTTTTCAAACAAGTATTTATGATCAAAGGGCAGCAGCATATGATAAATATTTATATGGTCCATTAAATAATAGTCTGTATAAATATTATTCAAAATGTGTGCACTGGAAACCACAGACTTCCCAGTTTATCCTTAAACAAATGTGTTAGTTTTCCCACATCAGCAGTGAAAAAGAGAGAGACAGACAGACAGAGAGACATAGAGACTGCCATTTGCAAAAATATTTCATTAAAAAAAGAAAAAAGAAAATCCTGAACATTGTTTGTTTTACTTTAAAAGGAATGGCTGAGAAGCCAGACGATCATTTTGTTACAGCTCAGTACTAAGCTCAGTTTGTCTTACCTTACTTTATGGTTATCAGATTGCCAAGACATACTCTTCTGATAAAGCTACAGTACAAGGAGACGCCACATGCACACACATGCGCACACACAGACAAACACACATACACACACAGAGCAGACTGGTGCTCAGCAGAAATATTTATCAGCTGCAAGTACAGATTTGGTGGTGTCATATGCTTAAAGACTAGGAATTAGGAAGGATTGACACGTCTCTTTCAAACTTTGATCTTTGGAACGTTGCGGGCCGTTCAAGCCCGGAGATCATGTGTAAATAGTGTGTTTTTAGTACTGCAGCTGTGCTTTTCTAGGGATTATGGGGAAAAAAGATTAGCAGGGCATCAAATTAGGTTTCATAATCTTAATATGAAAGGATCTAAACATTACGTTAAACAAGAACGGCATGTCAACATCACAGCCCTCATAGAGGGAAAAAATGGAAGGAGTGTTTCTGACAACATTGTGCCAGGTAGGAAAATTCAGCACTTTGACAGGTTTTTAGTGATACACTAAGCCAAACTATGGTAGCAGAACAGTCCAGATCACGTCTTAAAGGCAATGTATTCCATTTCCTTCTCCAGGATATTTGGTTCCTGTTGGGACATGATCAAAGGAACAAACAGAAGGGTGGGAGGGTTTTTTAGGGGGAGGTAGGGAGCAGGGAATGGGATGGGGACTGCTTTTAATAGTGATTAATGCCCTGAATGCCAAAGGGGCAGTGCTATAAACCTATGAGCAATGGCTTATTTTCCAATTCTTCAATGTCAAAAGAGAAAAAGTACACCCATAAAAACTCCATGGGCTCTAGAGTTTGTAACCATGCTGACAAGGAAAAGAATGAAACACTCAAACACTTGCTCTAGGTTGCTATTTATCACTGTATTGCTATTTTATTCAAAGTAAAAAAAAAAAAAATCTAGTGTTTTTTTTAAATTCCCTGGTAGTACTATTTGCTCTGATGGCCCTTTCCCACAGCAATGCACTCTACAAGGATGGGGAGAATGAGAAGAAACTAAGAAGTGACTTTTCCAAGTTCAGTAACAGTCATGCACCAGATCCTGGCATCCAAATTCCCAGTCTCAAACTCTAACCACCTGCCTATTCCACCCCACAATTTCTTTATAATATAGTACACAAATCGCTGCATACCAGAACCAAGAATTGGATTATTGGACTATTAGAAACCCCGCCGCTTCCTTCTCTCTTCACAAATAACCTCTAGTCTAAACCCACGTGGTCTTCTGATCTTCAATTTTGTTTTCCTTCCTAACCCTCAAGATGTATTTAAATGAGCACTGATGTTTTTATCTTTTTATTTCTATTCGTCTCTGCTTTCATACCCAAAGGTGCAAGTCTGAGGCATTCTTGATTTATACTAGCATCACTAAAAGCAAAATGTGGCCCCTCCATGATTTTGAAACCAAAAGCATCATCCAAGTAAATTGTCAAAATGACCAAAAAGCAACACAGCAGAGCACAACTGAGTAAGCAAAGTGGTTTTATTTTTCTGAGAAAAGAGACTCAGTCACTGATTTGTGAGAGAAAACTCAGATACGTAAGCATGACAGATGTCAACAAAAATCAACTCTATCAAATGAACAATAAAGCTAATAATTTCTGAATAATTAATTAAACCAGTCTGTGGCATAGCAGGAGACTGATGCTCTTGTTCTGACAGCTCTTGTCTTGAGCTTTTATACAAGGTGCATGGTAATGCTGACCAACAGGCTCCTGGTTCATGCCAGTTATCCCTTGGTACTATCATAATACAAATAATAAATCAGATACACTGCAAATAATAATAGTGGTGATAGAAGTAATACTGCTTGTAAATTTTGCCCTTCTTTTTCATCGATGGCTCATTCAGAAGCGCACCCCAATCCGTACTAATCACTTTGCTGCACTCAACTGGTCAATGAATAATTCAGGTAAATACATCTCAGCCTCTGAGATGTCTCCAAGCAGCTCGCTGCAAGTCACTGGCTGCGCTGCATGGCTGAACTCGTGAGTCAGATTATATCATTCTGCTCCTTGATTGGATACCTGAAGCCTTTCTATGAACATATATGAACAACAAACAGCAAATAATAAATGTAGGTATGCAGAACAGCAACAGCGAGAGGACCCAGACAGGTGGGAAGACCCTGCACAGTGGCTGCCCAAGACAGCCAGCAAGGGTGCGTACAGCAACCAAGAGAGGAACTACTTCTCTCTCAGTGCTCAGTGTGGAAAAACAGCATGCCAGCAAGATGTCGTGGGAATGAAGAGCTGCTGAGCAGAGCCAGAGCCACACCTACAGAAAGCTAGCTCAGGGGGAGGAAAAAAAAAGCCTTTGCAGCCCTTCAGTCTCCAGGCAATTCCCAAGGCACTGACGCTCCAAGACGAAATGGTGATGAATAAAGAGGTTGTTTGCATTTCTGGACTATAAGCATGCATTCCAGCTCCATGACTTCTGGTCCTTTCTCCACCGCACTTTGCCTCCTCCTCATGTAAGAAATGACCCATGAAGCCTTGGCTCTTGGGTGAACTGCATCTCTTTACCTGTCCCCCTCCAGCGTGAGAGAGAGCAGAAAACTGCTCTCTCCGGATCAGCAGGCAGGGACTGGCAGGAAAAAGGTAGACAACAGAGACCTGCGAAGAAAACGTGGGTCTGCCCAGCACAAGGAGACAAAGGGAGACAACACAGGAACTTCTCTATATTTCCAACTGCAACTTTGCGGCAGTTGGGGTTGAATGTCACTTATAAACAAGGTGCTTGATGCTGAGCCCATTGGAATCAGTGGATTAACAGCAGATTTTAGAAATCTTGTAACATCCCCAATACTCACCCAATTCATGTAACTCTTTTAACAAAACAACAGCTACAATTCCATGGTGCACTGGACATCGAAAGCATTGACCTCTCCATGCCAGAACAGAGCCCTTGCTTAGGAAAGCTGTTGCAGCAGTGCTGGCAACCACACCTATTCTCAGTGGGATCACTGTGTACCTGGAGATCTGGTAGGAGGTGCTGTTTTCTTTTCCACTAATGACGTGAAAACAGAAACCGTGCAATCCAACAATTACATGAGATCTGATTCCAACAGCTGTGTGGATAGCCAACAAGAGGCAAGCATACCCCCAGCAATGCAGAGATCCCCCTGGAGCAGTCTACCGTAGCAGTGTTGACTCTTTCATGACCATCCTAACCTAGCCTAGGCAGGGGGAAAGAGAGAACAAGGTGGCTATGACACTCAGATACATAAACATTAACATTTAAGCTGGTCACTGCTTTTGTTTTCCTCTTTGTTATAATGGGAATGAGAAAGGAGGGGGAAAAAAGAGTGATGCCTGACTGACATAAATCATGTACTGAAGAGAACCTCAGGTGGGCCTATATTGCTCAAGTTATGATTGAAGCTTATGCAGATACACTCAAGTTAGCTTTAAACTATGCATCTTGGGTATTAGTGGCAGTCTACCACAGCACAGTTTCTCAACCTGTGCTACGTGTACCCCTGGGAGTATGCGAGACACAGGCAGGGGGTATGTGGGTACCCCGACACTCTCTCTCCGTCACCTTCTTTTTCTTTCTCTCTCACCCTTAAAACTATGGCAAAAAATTTGGTGCAATTAAAAAAATTAAATTCCCCAGTAATAATTTGCTGTTCAGCCCTCCTAGCTTTGGCACACATCACCTGTAGCCCAGGTACATACTTGAGATGTGCACCCCTAGTGTAAAAGGTGGCAACCCTACCCACACCAGATCAGACATCTGTCATATCACGGCCTTATCTACACAGCCGTTCTTCCAACATATGATGCACATTAGTCTGTAACTATAAAATCCCCTGGAAAATTGAGTGTTGGGGTACTTATTAACATTTTCAGAAGTTAGGGGGTACTTGCTACTTAAAAGGTTGAGAAACTGTACCACAGCAACAGGGGATTCGACGTGGGCTTGACATGCAAGCCCAGGACCCCGATTAAGAACTTGAGCATGTCACCTTCAGACTGTAGTGAGGTCACTCTATATGTTACGCCAAGGATGAGTTTGGCCCTGAGTATTTAATTACATCACCAAATCACTATAAAAATTATTTGTTCCAAGTTTGCAATTCAATAATATGACAAAACATCAAAATTAGCATATTGGCTGAAATCCACTGCACTTCCCAGAAAGCCTCTAATATTTAAACAACATCTGAACCAGCCATCTATAATTACCCATGACAGACACTGGAAAGCTGAGGCCAGTAGTAGATGCAACTCTTCAATCAATTTTTAAAGACATGCTGTAAACCACTTCTTTTGAGACACTCAGCCCAGAAGCAAGTGTGTTTCTGCAGCCAATTCCAAAGTTTACTATACAGTACTTGTTCAGTCTTGCATAGTAATTGGATAGAGTGACAGCCCCAAGTAATTTGTCATTTTAAAATTAAACATTTATTTGGGCTGCTAGACAACCTGCAATTCTAACACCTTGGCCCTGAAGTTCCTGTCACAACTACTTAAAAGGCAGCAAGGTTGTACATTAGGCTAGTTTTAGAGAAACATGTATTCAGGACATAAATCAGATGTCAGGTTACACTGTACATGTGTAACAAGCTCCCTTCCCTCTCTTTCTATATCAGAATCCCATAATGGTGATGGGAAAACCACAAAGGCCTATCTGAACCTAATGTGATACACTCCTTGTCTCTTCTTCATGACTACTCTTCTTATAAAGTCTGCGATCTCCCTATGAGTCTTCTTTGAGATGATCCCAAATAACTATGAACACTCATAACAGCATAGGATGCAGACGATACTAAGACAGGGTCTTCACAAGTTGTGTTCCCTCGGGCTTCCTCAAGACACCGTATATCATGCAAGACCTCACATAAGCTTGTCTACCAAAGGCAATGAAGAAACCATAG